TGGTGACCTATTGCCTCTTAAAAGCTTCACCTCTTAATACCACCACATTGTCAACAGTTGAATTTTGGAGTGGAGTGGGGCACACTCAAACGATAGTAGCTGGATTCTCACATTATCTATACAAGGGCAGTCATGTTTGTTTCTTCTCTCTGGTCCTCAAACACGGCATATTTCACTACTGTGTGACTAATAAACTTTGTATAATTAATGAAACTTCTAGTGCAGAGCTAGATAATAATATTTGAAATACTTGCAATAGTACTTCTGGAGGGTGGATTTATGATTGGGTGTTTTAAATGTTATCTAACTACCCCGAGAGTACAGATTTAAGTTAATTTTATACATAGATATCAGTTTATACTGAAGTTCTATAGGCAATATAACAATAGTTTTAGCTGTTGTGTGGAAGGTGGATTGGTAGAGACCAGAGTAGATTTAAATAATCCAGTTAGGAGACCTTTGCAAAGAGAAGATTAGGACTAAAGAGAGCAATCACTGGTGCTGACTATGGAAGGGGCCAAATGAGGGAGAAGAGCTGGAGATTCCCCAGAACTTGGACTTCGTAATTGTGGCAGGACACACTGTCATTTGCTGTGGGATGTGTCTGCTTCTCAATTAGACTGTGAGCTCCCTTACAGCAGGGACTAGGCTCTCACCCCTGTGTCCTTGGAGCCCAGAGTTGGTGCTTAGCAAAGTGTGTTAAACGCTGAGGAAAAGGAAAGGTATGTCATGGAAAAAGAAATCAGGAAGAAAGAGATGAGATGAGAAGGGATGGATGATCATCTGGTAATGGAAGGGTCAGGCGAGGACCACCAGGGCTAGATGAGGACTTTGGTTGTTTTCCATCCCAGCTTCGTACTTGGCCAAGTACGAAGGCAAACCCTCATCGTGCAAAGGGTGTACAGGATTCAGGTCTTGGGGACCTGCTTTTAGGGGGTTACCTTGAATCTCTTCACTGTAGTAGGGACGGGCCTGTGCAGGCTGAAGAAACTCAGCTCAGGAGTCCACGGAGCTGGCACCTGCCCTGTGCTCTGGTACTGAGACATGCTGACTTCCAGCCATGAAACAGAACCCAGATGTTCCTCAACAATCAAGTTGTCTTGATAACCCCATTATAAGTCAAAAAATCAGAAATGAAAAGTGTGTTTCTGACTTAGAGTATTTTAAATTCATGATGAGTTTATTTGGACATAGCCCCATTGTCAGAGAAGAAGTGTACTGAATGTGTTTCGTTTTTGCACCATTGTGTAAAGTTGAGAAACCGTTAAGTCAAACCATCATAATTCAGGGATTGTCTGTAGATGGGTGACTAAAGAACAATTTTGCCATTCTTCACTAGCCTCAGCCAAGCCATTTCCTGGTGCTTCTGCTGTTATTTAAAAAATGATGATGGGGGCCTAGGGGAAGAAAACCAAGCCATGACACGCTTTATCACCACTCTCCTGGGCTTCACCACCAGACATTTCCTCAACTTGCTCACCTGGTAACTAAGTTGTTCACAGCTTGTCTACTATGCTTCACAGGATTTGTAACGAAGGCCACCCTGGCCATCATGAAGTCCCAGAGAGGGAGGCAGTTTTCCCAGGCTTTCTGCTTTCTGGTCTGAATGTTGACCATTCTCAGGCTCTCCTAAGCATTCTGCTTAAACAAACATTATTTATGTTCGGCAGGAGAACCATTCCTGACCGTCTGCTTTTTCCTCACTCATATAACCTCACATTTAATTTCTGTTTACACATATATGAACCATATCTTTAGGGGCAGCCTGGGAAATCCTAGGTTGGAGATGGAATTTGCCTTTTGAAAACACAGAGGTGAGCGACATCTGTATATTGTGTTATCAGAGGCATGACACATGCTCTGTTGGGAAGAGGTGCTTCACAGAATCTGAGTGAAATTGTAAAACTCTAGTTGACAAGGCAGCACCCCAGTTCTTTTAGCAAAGGCTTGATTACCAATATCTGCCTTTTAAGTTTTGGGGTGGCAACAAAACAGTTGAAAATCTTGGGGTGCTACGAATAAGCTGAGGTTTGGCCAAAAAACAGTCTCTGACAAACTCATACACATTTGATTTATAAAAGCATCTCCAAGTGAACTGGGTGAGTGGGGAACAGACAATAATTTGAGGTTAAACTTGGAGGATTGTAGAATTCATTGGGTATTCAAGTCTTCACTGTTTACTTCAAGGTCTTACATCAATCAATGCCAATATTGTCCTAATTGGCAGTATGTGATGTGGGTAGATAACCTTCTCTGATTTAACTCACATTCAGTGCAGACTGAAACTGAATCCTGAAGTCTTTACGTGATAGCTGGTTTACTGAACAAAATGAGGAACACAGAGAGAGAAGACCAAAGGGGAGTTATGCCTTATTTTGTTTCCTGATTTATCCTTCCCTGGGTTAATTCACCTAACAGGTCAGTTTTCATTAGGTTACTTCCCAAGTGCTCCATCCTTTTCTCTACCCCACCATTCCTTGACCCTTAGTAGATGGCTTTGACTTCTTTTGGGAACCCCGCTAACAGATGATTGAGATCTAACTTGTCTCATTTTAGCTGAAAACCATGAATAAAGGTGGACTATTTCTTTGGGTTCATTTGCAGGATGAAGTGAGGGGATAACTGCATGTTATTTATGAGAAACTCAACCACTTGCAAGTGAAATACCCTTAATTTTAGCTTTTGCTTATATATTTGCTCATGAATGAATATCTCTCCATGCTTTTTAGTTATTTGAAGGAAATAGTAGTATACGTTGGGTGTTCTGAGTTGAGTCTAGGCAGTACATTGGAATTATAACATTTTTCCTGGGAAGTAGTATTTCTGGATTTTTGTCAGTTTTTTGGTGAGTCTTTGAGTTGGCTACACGGACTGATAGGTTTTCTTCCAAGACGTAGAACGTGGTTCATTGATGTCTTTTGTCTTTCTTGTTTATACTTTTGTGTACTTTTTTTTTTAGGTAGGGTCTAACTCTTTCATCCGTGATGGAGTGCAGTAGCCTGGCCACAGCTCACTGCAGCCTTGAGCTCCAGGGCTCTTGAGAAGCTGGGGACTACGGGTGTGAGCCACCATGCCCAGGTAATTAAACATTTTTTTGTAGAGATATGGTCTCGCCATATCTAGGCTGGTCTCAGATTCCTCAAGGGATCTTCCTGCCTTGGCCTTCCAAAATGCTGAGATTACAGATATGAGCCACTGTGCCTGGCTATTGTGTAGTATTGAGCTTTGGAGGAGCAGTTGATTTCCCTCTCAATTAAAAATGGAAACATGGGAGAGTCTTTCAAAGCTGATAATGGGAAGTAAAGTAAAATAGCAAAAATTCTGCCAGCCCTGCCCTTCATCTTCCTGTTTCTTCCAAGGTAACTTAGATGATGTTGATGATAATAGCAATTAACATTCAATAAGTGCTTTGATGATAAGCCAGCTACCCCCCAACCTTTTTTTTTTTTTTTTTTTTTTTTGAGATGGAGTCTCGCTCTGTCACCCAGGCTGGAGTGTAGTGGTGTGATCTTGGCTTACTGCAACCTTTGCTTCCTGGGTTCAAGAAATTCAACATGAATCAACTAATGGTTTTCACACAGCCCTACCTGATGAGGTATGTTGTTGCAGGAAGAAGAAACTGAGGCATAAATGAGCTTCAGTGACTGTTGACCACTTTGATCTTAATGGGACCAGGGATTTCCTGGAAATCTTTGAGACTAAGCAAGGACTCTGCTTTTGGCTGCAAAAATTGCCATACATTGTGTTCGAGCCCTTCCCACCATTTGAGCCTTACTGGGTTTTTGCTCTGGCATTTCCAGCTCCTCCCTCCGGCTGTGGGGCCTCTGTAAGACATTGTTTGGTTGCTGGTATGTGAATATGTATAGTTCTAGCATTGACTTTTTCTTTAAAACAAAACCTACGACTTCTTAAAAAATAACTGAAATGTCAAGAAGAGCTTTCTGGTATATTTTCACACTGTTTGACAGGCCTGTGATGTTGAGGGGCGAGCTGCTGGCAAACCGGCTGGAGTTGGGCTTTCAGGCCATGGGTCCTCTGTAGCAGCTCTCACCATAGTCTCTGCGTGGGCATCTTCTGGGCCTGGTAACATGCTGCCCTTTCACTAGGGCCTGTTTATGAAGAGCTCTAGAGGTGTGCCTTTTTTCCCCCGCTACACTTCCTACAGTAGCTGTTTTTATTAAAATGCTTTAAAAATAGGGAGCTAGAAGTGCTGTCATGGTAAAAGAACTGCCTTTAGGGCAGGAGAAAGTGACAATTTCAGTAAAATGTCCTGTTATTGTCAACCACCAACCTTCAAGCAGTAGGGAAGAATGTCATGCTTGCCAAAGGTGGCTGTGGCACAGCAGCTGCAGGCAGCGGGGCGGGAGGCAGCATGGTGGGTCAAATCGAGTCTTTGGCTGGAGTAGGATTGCCTGACTTTGATTCCTAGTTCCACCAGCTGGGTGACCTTGGGCTTCTTTGGGCTGCTATTTTCCCATATGTGAATGGAGATAATCATAGGGTTGATGTGAAGATTAAATGTAGTTGTGATGTATAAGTGTTAGTCTTTATTAATAGCATACATCCAAACTTTCACTATGCAGCTGCCTCCCACTGTGTGAGTCTCTGTTGGTAGGAAGCCTGATGAGTGAGGATAATTCCACACCCAAGTCTGCATCTCTCCCAAGAGATATCCCTGTTCGCTTCACTTCCTGAAGGTACTGTGGCTCCCATCGTCCCACCACATAGGCCTGTCAGTGAGATAACTGTCATCTCGTTCGGTTGCACTCAGCCTGAATGTGTGTACATCTACAAATGCAGCTTCTTTGGGTTTATTTACAGAGCTAGCACTTCTAGGCGTGGGCCCCCAGCTTCCTGTGTAAAGATGAAAACTGCAATCCTTCCACTTCAGCCAGACACAAATAACTGGCTGGGAACCACCCAACTGACTGGGACTTCTCTCACTCCCTGCATAAACCACCAGGGGAAGGCTGAGTTTAATAGAGACTCAGACGACAAGATTTAAATAAATAAGCTGTATTATCTGTACAAAAAATACAAATACAGTTTTGTGTTTTAGAGGAGAAAGTGCCTCCTTCCACATTAGCCAGCAGGCTTCATTGTCTTGTGGTGCTGCTGAGTTGCAATTTACAGAACAAACATTAAATGTACATTCATCTCATGCAAGGAGCACTCTGCTTCCCACCCAAACCTAGGCTCTCCCAGCTCACTGAGACCCACTGCCAACTGCTCCAACCCAACATGGAGCTGGAGGATGCTTGCTTGTTCTTTAGGAAATGTAAATAGTGACCACTGCTTTTCAATCGCTAGTGAACTAGAAATAATTAACCACATTAGTAGTAGTATGGAATTTGTCTTTATCATTCCGTGCACAACTATTGCGCCACAAATGAATTCTCTCTTACTGCCTCAGCATCCCATGTTAGTTTTTACAACACATCCTGTACAGTGAATGGATCCAGAGTTAAACACCAGGTTCTATTAAAAATAGGAAAAATATAATAATCACTACCAAGTTTACAGGAACACAACTGCAGGAAGTTAATAAAGTCCCCCCAATAGTTTTTTTTTCTGGATGACAATGTACAATTATTAATATTGCACTTTTTTATACAAGAAATCCTAATAAATATTCACAAAAGATATACAGACATAGAAAACATTCTCTTTTATTTTAAACAGACATTACACTGATTTTTTAGTAACATAATTTCTTAGAGCCTAGTTTTGTGGTGAGGAAGAAAGAGACACAACTTAACTGTCCACAGCTCACTGGTGGGGGGGGGTGACACAGATTAATATTGTCTTCCTCTCAAATTTTACTTCCAGGCTGGCTGGAAAATGCAGCCCTGATGTCAGTGGTAGCCCCAGTGTGAGTGGCATTTCATGAGGGGGGAGGCTTATCTGAAGGTAAGGGACTCTGGCCACCCTTGCTCCTAATCTCAGGTCACTCTAGGGAAGGAGGCAAAAATTACCTGGCTTAATGAGGATTTTGCCAAAGAGTCCCAGAGTTTTCATTTTGCTGCTTGACTTTGCTCCAGCCGCCTCACCACAGCTGATGAGCGTGGCTGCAGTGTGTGAGCTGTTTTGCCAGGGTGCTGCCTCCACCACCCCACCTTGCTAGATAAATACTACATGCGGGAGGGCCTGCAGACCGCTGGGGTGGAGGCTGGGAGAGGGAGGGTGTACGGTGGGGCGCGCGTAAACCCACTGTCCCACCCCAGTCCCTGGCCAGCTCTGGAATGAAGAGGTTGCTACAGCCTGACAGCCTGACAGATACTCTCTGGCAAAGTGACTAGTTAATGGGTTGATGTTGACAAGCTGACCATAGTCCCTGGCCCTTCAGTGGAGCAGCAAAGGTCCTAGAAGGCAGAAAACCTGGCCCATTCATGCTAAAAATGGCCTGGTCCACAGCAGCAGTTAGTGCAGGGCTGGAGGACTTCCGATGGAGATAAACAGGTGCCAGGGTGGCCTTACTGCATGGCCAGACCCACCTCTCACTGGCTTTGCCGCAGCTGCACAGGCAGGATGTTGACTCTGATAGCCTGGGGAGTGGGGACTCCCATGCAGCGCAGTGCTCTGTCGTGGGCAGCAGGGCTCTGAGCATGCGCACATGCATGGGATCAGAGCCGGTCCATGAGCCTCATGACGCCTGGAAGCCCCTGCTCACCCTGCCCCACTGGGGAACACGCACAGGCTCCTTTTTGCTTCTGTCCCTCCCCTCCCCTCCCCTCCCTTCTTCATTTTCTGCAACGTTGTGTGCCTTAGGGCCTGCTTTGTTTGCTTTTTTACCTCTCCCTACTGGTGATTTGAGTTCTCCTCTCTCTGCACTCCCCCACTAGAAGAACTGAGTTCTGGGCTAGTTTCTGCCTCAGCATGGTGTCCCCTCCCCATCTGTCCTAACCATGACTAAAGGGACAGATGGGGAAGAGGACACAAAGCAGCAACACACTCCTGTGTTTCTGATAGTGCACTTCTAGGAAAGACACAGGTGTTTGTCCAATGTTTGCACCAATAGGCTACAAACCTTCTGGCTCCCTGCTGTCCCCAGGGACTGTGCCTGCCTCTTCCTAGGTCTTTGAGACCCAGGTTTGGGAGGGAGGAAGCTCTTCAAGGGAGCCTCCCCGTCTGCCTGGCCTGCTCTGCAACCTCCTTTAGACATCTGTCCTTTCCTTTCCCAACATCCCGTCCTCCAGCTAACTGAAAGAGAAAACACGCGGACGTCCTCATGCTTGAGGATGGAGGTGGAGGAGGCTGGAAGGGTGTGTGTGGGGTGGGGAGGGGGAAATAAATAAATAAAATGAAGAAAGCTTAGGTTCTGTCCAAGGTGGTTGCGTGAGTCCTTCATGTGGCCAGGGTAGAGTGCTTCCCCATGCCCTGTCTTCACGCTTTGCCACAAGTTCCACAGCAGCGAGATTTAAACTGACTGAGTTGGCAGAGTTTCAGCTGTTTCACCTTCTCGCAGTACCTGGTGGTGTCTCTGCACTCCACTGGGAAAGGAGGACAGGGTGGGGAGAGGGGACAGAAAAGAGATGTGAAACAGAGACTAATGAATGCAGCCTGCGTGATATGCAGCTGGGGGTTTCAGCCACTGAGGTACATCCTGGGGTCTGCCGTGGCCACCGCTCTCCAGCCTCACTCTGACAGAGTTCAGCCACCTGCTCCCCAAGGCTGCCAACAGTGGGGGTGGCACCAGCCTGCAGCTGTCTGTCTGGCTGAATGATGGGGCCCCTCCCTGGGCTGTTTGTTTGCTTCTTTTCTGTAGCTCCCTCTACTTCCTGAAGATGCCTGTTTTCTCTTCCTTCTTGGGATTACCTCATCTCCTAGGTGATCACCTCTTCTCCTAGGCAAACCTGCCTTTTCCCATGGGTTTTGGTATTTTAAGTAAATGACACTCCTCCTTAAGATGGTTCCCAGGACTGCATTCTCCCCCACTTTGCAGGAGTATGCAAGTGAGGCTTGCGTCGGATACCCCCATCCCCAGGCACTTGGGCATACTTTCTCTGTGAAGGTTTATTTTCATGTGCCCTCCAGTCTCTCTTCCTTCTACCCACTCTGCCTTAAACACAGCACCAGGATGTTCTAGTTCAGTGTTGGCACAGATTAGATGATCTTAAATATTGTGCGGACTTGGTTTGGTAAGTTTTAACTATGTGCATTGAATATTGGTTCTCTCTGAGCATGGTGAGCCACTGACACAAACATGGGTTAACACTACCCGAGTACAAAGAGATCATCCATCCCCCAGTGTGTAAAAAGAAGTGGTCTTTTTGCCTACATGGCATCTGCCTTAGTGTTGGGAATTTATTGCTCAGTGAGGCCCAGTTTGGGAGAAAACTGCACAGCTACATTTGGTTTTTACTTCCTATTCTTTGCCTCAAGCTTTGCCGCCTTTCTCATGGGTAAGTACCTCCGATTTGGGTTCAGAGGAAGAAAAAAACTAAACTCCTTCCCAACTGGAATACAAATGACAGTATTGGGATGAGGAGGAGGGAGTGAAGTGAGTATCAAATTCCAAGACTGGGGCGTCCTGGACAGTTCCAGGAGATGCCTATGGGGCTGGGAGGGAGGGGGTCAGCAGGTCCGTGTCGGGTGAGAAGCAGAGCTGTGATGGGCGCAGAGCTGGCTGGCTGAGCGGGAGGCAGTCTGTGTGCCTTCAGAGTTAACAGCACTTTCTGTTTAGTAGCCTGGCCCCTGAGAGTTGTTGATGTGTCAACCCCTGTGGGCACCAGCCAGACTGACTGCAGGGGAACTGGAGGCTGATTTCCTCCAGCACTGGACCAACAGCACCTGGCTCTCTCAGGGCCAGGATGGAGATCGTGGAAGCCCTCGGGGCATACCCTGTCATGCCTATATACACATCTCTGCACACACCCATGCACCCCACTGAAAATGCTCAACTCCACCACCAGCTCACAATCCCTGGGGAAGCTGACCCCATGCCCTGTGCTCAGGGTTGGTCCCAGGGACTGCTCTCTGCACTTGATGCTCTGTGGGGAATTTGCAGAAGGTTCTTGGGGGTTGGAACATACTGTTTTCACATGGGGTGATGTTGCAGCGCTGCCAGTTGGCAGGCCGGGGTCCCCAGGAGCACAGGTGCTCAGGCACTGCCTTGTTGGTGCGGGCATGCACACACTCCACACGCCGGGACTGGAAGCCGTAGTTGCCACAGGTAGCTGTGCACAGGGTCCACAGGCTGACTCTCCAGTGTACGCTGCAGGCCTCTGACCAGCAGTTCTGGGTGCTCACGGGCCTGCAGAAGGATGGTGGAAGGGTTAAGGTTTGCTTCTGTGGGGGCTGAATCAGGGCAGATGTGAAAACAGTGCTGCAAACTCAGAAATGTTAGGCGATTCCTCAAGAACTTTCAGCATTGCTAGACCTGGGTTCTAATCTCTGTGCTGTTACTAAATGGCCATATGATCTCAAGAAGGCTATTTCCTCTTATTGGGCCTCCCTTTGCTCTTCTCTGTAATGAATATGGATCTCACCGCATGACTGAAGAATGAGCTCTCCCCCATGTGGACACTGGCAGAGCCTGGTCTCACAGGCTGGGCTCTGAGGTGGGGGCGGTGAGTCCCCTTGCCCCAGGGGGACATCTATAAGGAAGTGTTATAAGGATGGGGACTGGATTGGAATGGTAGGTCGAGACTGAGGAACAAGGGCTCTCATCTTAGCCTAACTTCTAGAGGGAGGTCAACAAGAGTGAGGGGTTTGAACCTTTGAGACTTGGTGGCCGTCGTGTAGACCTCACCTCCTGCCCACCCTGGGGCTAGTGTGGGTCTCTCGAGGTATGAGGCCTCTCTCAGAAGAATAACACCCTTGCACTTTTCATCCCTGAGAGAGAAAATCCCAGCCTAGCCCATTAGGTAAGCACAAGACCAACACCGAGTCATCTGCCTCTGGGGAGGCCAGTGGCTTGGGGTGAATGGAGGTGAGAGGGCAGGGCTTAGGTCTGTGGTAAGTTGGAGGAGAAACATTCACTCAGCACCATCTTTCCGAGCCGTTGACGCGGGGCTGGGAAAAGGAGATTCAGGGCTTTCTCTTACCTCGGAAGAGCACTGCACTGCTCTGATGGTAAGGTGATGCCATCCCGTGTCTGGCAGAAGACTTGTCTGTGTTGCACAGCTAGGTGAGGCCCGATGCAAGGCCCATTGCACTGGAAAGCAGAAAAAGGTAACATACAGCACATTAGCCAAGTCAAGGGTGGAGGCCGCCACGCTTGGGCTGCATGGGATGCAAGATCCTTGTGTAGGTCTTGTTGGAGGCTCTCAGACCATTCATCTTTCCCCTCTTTGGGCTAACTAAAAGACATTCACTGATAAGTTTTCTTTATGGGATGGTTAGCTTGCCTGTGGTCTATGGGTATTCTGCCAGCAAATGGCTAATGGTAGTGTACAACCAGTAAAAGAAAGTCAAGCCCCTCTGAGATTAACCATATGAAAGATATTTTGGCATAATATGCTAGGAATGTGGTGGTAGACTTTAGAACTGAAGACCCCTAAATAGCTCCACCCCTTCAGAGCAGAGAGGGTAATATGGTTTATCGTTTTCTTGCTAAAGTCATCCAAATAACCAACTCCATCCTTTCCCTGGCTTCGTTTTCTGCAGGTTAAACCTAGGATGACTGAACAGAAAGCAGACTTAGGTATGCAGAGTCCCCCCTCATATTCTCTTGCTGTGTGCTCATGGAGATTGTTAAACTTTCCCCAGAGTTCATGGAGCCTGACCCTGTCACAGTAAATACACTTAGCAACAATTGTCTGTGAAATACAAAAGCAGCAGGCCTTTAGCCAACATCTGCTATTTTAGTAGAACAAGAGGATAGGCATCCCATGGAGGTCACTTGAGAACAAAGGCTCTTAAGTTGGGGGTCTTTGGGTCCCTAGGGTTCCACTGGGGGTGGTGCTGGGGTGTTAATCCTTAACAGTATAAGCAAAAGTTTTGTGTTTATTGGCTTTTTTCTAGCAAGAGGTTCCCTCTAGCTTTCATCAAGTACTCAAAGGGATCCATGACCTCAAAGATTAAGAACCACTGAAAGAGCAGGATTTAAGGTAAAAGTAGCTCTCTTGGGTCAGACAGCTGTGCCCAAGGTTAGTTATTGCTCTTCTGGACTCTGAAGGGTCCAGTTTGACACTATTATTCACAAACACATGGAGGGTTGAGGTAAATGTAAAAAAAAACAAACAAAAAAAAACCCTTAACACCAATAACCGGGACTTTTTTTTTTGAGACAGGGTCTCTTTCTGTTGCCCAGGTTGGAGTGCCATGGCACAATCTCAGCTCACTGCAGCCTTCAACTCCTAGGCTCAAGTGATCCTCCCACCTCAGCCTCCTGAGTGGCTAAAATTTATCTCTTTAAACATATTTTAAAAAAGAACTTTTTTTCCTTTGTCTCAGATGGAGTCTCACTCTGTCGCCAGGCTGGAGTACAGTGGCACAATCTCGGCTTACTGCAACCTCTGCCTCTCAGGTACAAGTGATTATCCTGTCTCAGCCTCCCAAGTAGCTGGGACTACAGGCACATGCCATCATGCCCGGCTATTTTTTGTATTTTTAGTAGAGATAGGGTTTCACCATGTTGGTCAGGCTGGTCTTGAACTCTTGACCTCAGGTGATCTGCCTGCCTCGGCCTCCAAAAGTGCTGGGATTACAGGAGTAAGCCACTGTGCCTGGCCAAAAAATAACTTTTTATTGTGAAGCACAGTGTGCATACAGAAAACTGATTAACAGCCAGGTGTGGTGGTTGATGCCTGTGTTCCCAGCTATGCAGAAGGCTGAGGCAAGAGTATTGCTTGAGCCCAGGAATTTGAGGCTATAGTGCACCATGATCATGCCTGTGAACAGTCACTACACTCCAGCCTGGACAAAATAGTGAGACCCCATCTCTAAAAAAAAAAAAAAGTGATTAAAACATGAAGTATATCTCAGGGAGTTCTATAAAGTGAGTATAATTGACCTTTAAACAACATGGGTTTGAAATGGGCAGGTCCACTTATACATTTTTTTTTTTTTTTTCAACCAAAGGTCTTGGGATGCGAAACCCATGTATATGGAGGGCCAACTTATTGTATATGCAGGTTCTGTGAGATTGACTGCAGGACTTGAGTTTGTGTGGATTTTGGTATATACAGGTGCTCCTTACATCAATCACCTATGGATACCAAGGGACAACTGTATAAAAGCAAAGCTAGCTGCATGGATGTCCCTACACCCTTAGAAGGAAACTGTAGTTGGTTTGACGCTCTACTGTCAACCTTGACATTCATTATAGTTTTTGAACAAGCAACCTGACATTTTCATGTTGCAATGGGCCCCACAACTTATGTAGCTAGTCCTGTATACACGTGAAGAAATAAAATGCTGTCAGCAACTCAGGAGCCTAGTTTGTGCCTACTCTTTACTCTCTTTCCCTTCTCCACATGTAACCACTGAGACTTAACTTTTAAAACAGTTTAGTTTATGACTGTTTTTGAAATTTACATAAATGAACCATATTTCATGTTTGTTTTATATCTGGTATTTTCTTACAGTGTATTATGTACATAACTGAAGTTTGTTCATTTTCACTGATGTATAGCACTTTATTTTATGAACATACCATGATTGAATTTTCCATTCTACTGTTGATTAACACTTGGTTTCTTTTTTCTTTTTCTTTTTGTTTTGAGACAGAGTCTTGGAGTGCAGTGGTATGATCTCTGCTCACTCTGCAACCTCCACCTCCTGGGTTCATGCGATTCCTGACCCTCAGCCTCTCAAGTAGCTGGGACTACAGGCGCCCACCACCACACCTGGCTAACTTTTGTATTTTTCGCAGAGACAGGGTTTTGCCATGTTGGCCAGGCTGGTCTCGAATTCCTGACCTCAAGTGATCTGCCTGCTTTGGACTCCCAAAGTGTTGGGATTACAGGTATGAGCCACCATGCCTGGCCAATCCTTTTTATTTCTGTAATACTGGTAGTAATGTCTCCATTTTCATTTCTGATTTTAGGAATTTGAATCTTCTCTCTTTTTCTTTGCCAATATAGCTAAATGTTTGTCTATTTTGGCCAACCTTTTTGAAGAATTTACTTTCGGTTTTGCTGAGTTTTCTTTACTATTCTCTAATCTTTATTATCCTCTTCTGCTAGCATTAGGTTTAGTTTGCTTGTTTTCTGTAAATTTTTAAGGTGTAAAGTTAATTTGTTGAAGTCTTTCTTTTTTAATGTAAGCATTTACAGCCATAAATTTTTCTCTTAGCACTATTTTCTCTGTGCTCCATACATTTTGGTATGTTGTGGTTTTGTTTTCACTTGTCTAGTTTCCTTCCCTGTGGTTGGAAAAGGAACTCTGTATAAATTCATTCTTTTCAAATGTATTAAGAATTATTTTTTGGCATAACATACAGTCCTTTTTTGGATAATTTTTCATGTGCACTTGAGAAAAAACAAGTATTCTGCTATATTGGGTGGAGTCCTCTGTATGTCTGTTACTCCAATTAGTTTATAGTATTGTTCAGTTACTCTGTTTCTTTACTGATCTTTTGTTTAGTTGTCCTATCCATTGTTGAAAGTGGGTTTCTAAAGTTTCTATTATAGAACTATTTCTATTATAGTTTCTATTATTTCTCTCTTCAATTCTGTCAATATTTGATTAATATACTTTGGGGCTCTGATGTTTGGTGCATGCATGTTTATAATTGTTATATTTTCTTGGTATATTATCATTATGTTGTTTGATTTAGTATAGCTACCTCAGCTTTTGTTTTATATTTACATGGACTATCTTTTTCCATTCCTTCACTTTTAACCTACTTTTTTCTTTAGATCCCAAGCAAGTCTTTTGTAGACAGCATAGAGTTGAATCATGTCTTTTTTCTAACATCTACTAGGCCAATCTATGTCTTTGGGGGTTTAATTCCTTTAAAGTAATTACTGATAGGGAAGAACTTACTTTTGCCTTTTTATTATTTATTTTTATGTACATCTTATAGCTTTCCCTCATCATTCCCTCCACTTATGTTGTCTTTTGTGATTAGTTGCTTTTTCGTAGTGACAAATTTTGCTTCCTTTCTCATTCTCTTTTGGCTATACATATTTTCTTTGTTGTTACCATGGGGATTACATATAATATCCCAAAGTTATAACAATCTAATTTGATTTTTGATATCAATTTCATACAAAACTCTACATATGTACTGCTCTGTTTCCCATCCCCACTTTACATTATTGGTGTGAAAATTGTATCTATACGCTATATATTCACTAACAGATTTATAATTACTTTTTATGCATTTCTTTGAAATCTATAGAAAATAAGTGGAGCTATGAAACAAAATAATAATGGTTTTAATGCCTGCCCATCTATTTATCTTTATTGGAGAGTCTTTATATGTTCATGTGGCTTGGAGTTAACTATCTAGCATCTTTTTGTTATAACTCAAAGGACTCCATTTAACATCTCTTGTAATCAGGAATAGTGGTAACAAGCTCTCTGGAATGTCATAATTTCCCCCTTGTTTTTGAAGGAGAGTTTTGCCCGATAATTCTTGTTTGATAGTTTTTTCTTTCTGGACGTTATAATTTTTCTTTCTTTTTCTTTTTTAAATAAAGAAAAAGGGTTTATTTGGCTCATGGTCTTGCAGGTAGTATAAGAAGTATGGCGCCAGCAACTGCTTCTGGTGAGACCTCAGGAAGCTTACAATCATAGAGGAAGGCAAGAGGAGCTGGCTTGTCACAGGGTAAGAGAGGGGAGGGAGGCACCAGACTCTTTTGTTTTTGGCTGTCCGTATATTTTTACATTATCAAGTCTTTGATATTTCTTTTTTTTTTCCTTCAACTTTTAAGTTCTGGGGTACATGTGCAGGTTTGTGACATAGGTAAACGTGTGCCATGGTGGTCTGCTGCACAGACCATCCCATCACCTGGGTAGTAAGCCCAGCATCCTTCAGTTATTTGTCTTGATGCTCTGCCTTCCCCCATGTCTCCACCCATAATCTTTTTTCCCAGGTGTCTGCAGGTCTGTGGTCCTTGTGCAGATTTCACAATTAGTGGCTGCTACGTTGTCAAGATCAAAACCATGCCACATGGAGGAGGGGTGGGGCAAGGATGAATGAAAATACCAGGAAATTTCATATCATCTTAAAGATGGCTTTTTCTTTATTGGCTGTTTACTTGGTTGCTATAGAACTTGGGCGGTTTTCCAGAACACTTATAAGGTTAGTTCAGCCAGTTTCTAGTTGTTTTTTTGATGCTTCCATAAGAGAACATGGAGTTGGAGCTTCCTAATTTGCCATTTTGCTAATGTCTCTTGACTACACTGGGAATTCTTGAAGGAGTAATGTGTCCCTGGAAGCACTTATTTCCTCCATTCTCATTTGTAACTAAACCTATTGCTGGTTTGATTTCAGTGCCTACTTTTACACTGCCTACTTTTACACTGAAACTGCCATTCACAGAGTTACCAGTGACTGCCTATCAGTCAAGTTCGAATATGCACTGTATGTACAAAATAAGGCCAATGCTTATTTTGTATTTTGTTTATTCTGTTGGATGTATTTTTATACCATTGACTTCCTTCCTTCTTGATAAAGCTCCTCCACTGGTTTCTGTGAATTTTCCCACTCATTAGGTTAATCTTTTTTCTTCTTCTTCCCCCAGGTTAATTAGTGTTGTTTTCCCCAGGGTTCTGTCCTGTGCCTTTTCTTAATCTGATCCTTTCCCTCTCTCTGGGTGATACCATCTATGATTCTTAGCCACCTCTTGTATACTAATGACTTTCAAATTGATAGTGTTTAGCACAGTTCTCTTTTAAGCCCCAGACCTATATGTGCAACTACTTAATGAGCGTCTGTACTTAGATATCTCTTACTAAACATGTCCCAAACAATTCCATATAGCACTAATCCACCCTCTTTTTTCTATATTCCTATCTAGTTATTCAATTCAGACCCTCCAGTAAAATTTTGACCTCCTTCCTTTCTCTCATCCCCGATATCCAATGGCTCATGGAAGCCATGTGAATCACACTTATAAAGAGAAATGGATTCCTCTCTATTGGCACTGCTCAATACCTTCATTCTGACCACCAAAATTGCTCACCTAGATTAGGTTTCTCTTTCTGTAGTCCTCTCACTTGCCAATTTGATCACTATACTGCAGACAGCATACCTTTTTTTTTTTTTTTTTTTTTTTTTAAAAAAAGGTTTTTGCTTTGTCACCCAGGCTGGAGTAGTGAAAGTGGTGTGATCACAGCTCATTGCAGCTTCAACCTCTCAAGTGATCCTTCTGCCTCAGCCTCCTGAGTAGCTGAGATTACCGGCATGAGCCATTGTGCCTGGCAAGACAGTAATCTTAAAAGTCTGATTGTGCCACTCCTTCTTAAAAATCTTTGTAGTTGCACTTACAATAAAATCCAAATTCTTTGTACAGCATACAAGACCCTTTTATGATCTTGCACCTGCTTTCCAGGCCACATTTCTATTTCTATTCTGTCACTTCATTCTCCTGCAAACATTGTGGGCTGCTTTTCCCTTCATTTCTTCACACATGCTTATAAATGGGACACATTCCCCTCCCAAGACAGGTGTCCCATAAATGTATGTTGGATTAAAAGAAGAAAGTTGAATTATTACATGAAGCCAGATTTTTGGAGCTAAGAAGGTGGTCTTAGTTTTACTTGGACTAAAATCGGCATGGTTTTCTTATACAAATGTTTTTCCTTCTGCCTGCCTTCATGAAGTCTAACACTATTCCAAAAGGAATTTTTTGTTAGAAACTATCATCACTTTCATTCTCACAGGAGTGGAGTGTGGATGTTTGAGAAGCATCTACAGTTTGAAGCACAATATCAGCAATATTACCAGCAGAGAGACATCAACAGGATTGTGAGATGAAGCATTTGTCTGCAATCTGTAATGCCTCAAGCCTTGCTACTCTTTCAAGTGAAGCCCTTGGTCTAAGAGCATTGATGTTACCAGAAGTTTTGAGAAGTTCAGCAACCCAAGTTCTACCTAAGACATACCATATTAGAATTTGCATCTTTAATAAGATTCCCAGGTGATTCACATTAAAGCTTGAAACATACTGTCCTGGAGGGTTGCAGAAAAGAGGAGGAGGGGGTGAATTTTTTTGAGGGGAAGGAATAGAGAAAAGGAGAAAGACATATGTATTTTTCTTTCTGTTAGGAAACAATCACTGGTGCACCATATGTCCCCCCTTGAGTGACCTTGATGACACAGTGCAGAAACATCTCTCATGTGTAGCCAGATCTGTTTGCTATTGTAATTTTATGAACTACCAATAAGCCTCAAGGGCCTGGAAGCAGAGCTGTCTTGAGAGGTATGTGAGCTATGAGAAGTGGGCTTTTCCAGGTAAGAGAGAGATGATATTCCCCCAGGCAAGGGGAGCTCATGCCTCTTTGATTATGAAGCATATACATTATGTCACTGGAAATAAGGAAGCGTTAGTAGAAGCTCCAGAAAGGAGTCTCCAGTTAGGCATGTTGATTGGCTAGCATTGAGCAGTAGCCTCAACTTACCTGGGACACAAATGGCTTATGAGTTGGAACGTGAACTCTATGGCCAAAAACATTTGATTTTCGTTAAAGATGGCCACAGAAAGTTGCAAGTGATTGTTTTCCAAAGGACACACCTAAGGGTGAGAGTGGAGGACATAAATGTAATAATGTATAGATGGCCAATTAGAAGATGTTTTGAATTGCTAACTGCCTAAAAACATTCAATCACATTGGTTCATAGAATTACACAAAGAATTAAAAGCCTGCTGCTCTGAGGGTGTCTCAGCTGGACAACCAACAAAAGCTATACCTGGCCAGTCAGAATGTGAAAGGAGGAGGTGGCAGTGATAACATTTCACTTCCTACTGTGGCAGCGTCCACTCCTTTAGATTTAGCTTTCAAATAACAACCTCTCTGGCTCCTCACCTGGCCCCAGCTGGAGAAGGCCCACTCCACACACAGCTGCTGGTTACAGGCCTGGGTGTCCACAGGCCGCTTGGCAACCTGGGTGCACATGTCATTGGACACAGGGGTGGAGATCCCAGAGGCTTTCAGCTTTTGACAGGTCACCCTGCGGGTCTGGACACCTCCCCCACAGCTCCGGGTACAGGCAGACCAGGAGGTCACCATCCACCTGGGGAGAGGAAGAAGTGTCAGGAGAGCCCTAAAGGGACAAGCCCTGGGGAAAAGAGATCCCCTCCCCACCCCACATCCCTGCTCTTGCCACTGATTTGGGGCCAGTACCCTTTTCACAGTATATACTTGGAAAGATAGGCTGAAAAATGACTCCTCCAAAAGATATCCATGTCAAATCCCTAGTGCCTGTGAATGTTACCTTATGTGGCAAGGTTCTTTGCAGATGTAATTATGGATTTAAGATAAGATTATCTTGGATTATCTGGCTGGGCCCTATATGCCTGCCATAACAAGTGTTCTTACAGAGAAAGGCAGAGGGAGATTACATACAGAGAAGAGGAGGAGATAATGTGACCATAAAGGCTGAAGGTGGAGTGATGTGGCCACAAGCCAAGGAACACCTGGGACCACCAGAAGCGGATTCTCTCCTAGAACCTTTGGAGGTGATATGACCCTCCGGATACCTTGATCGTGGACTTCTGGCCTTCAAAATTGTAAGAGAATCAATTTGTTGTTTTGTAACTGCAGTGTTTGTACTTCCTAAAGGAGATCCAAGGTTCTAGGGAAGTCAGATCCAAATTTGTGTCACCTCCTGACACAGAAAGTAATCTGGGCCTCACTGAAGTCAAAGTTTTGTCTGGTAGTGCTCAGTGTACTTCCTGCCGCACATTTTGGTCAATCCCTCAGAAACAGGTAAAGTTCCTCCCATCTCTTGGTGTTATAGTCTATAGGTCTTATACCTCTCAGAGGGCTGCATACGTGGTAGAGATAGTTGTTCTCTGAATGTTAGGTTCCAAAAGTGGGACTGTGACAAATGGACTTTTCTCACAAAGCCAGCCTGTAAACTGGGAACACTCTGAAATCCTTGGTCCATATACAAACATGCAGGGATTCTCATTGCATGTGTGTGCCCTGTAATAATTCTCAAAGAGACGGAGACAGCTTGGGGAAATTGCAAGACTTGTTGCTCATGTAATCTAGAACAAAAAAAAAAATCCCACTCTTTGGTTTTAGTGATTGAGAAAATTTATCTAACAAAATGGTTTAAGCAGCTACCTGGGTCACAGCAGGGTTACCCAGTTGTATCTTAAAGAGACAACCAGGGCAACACTTGTTCATGTGCAAAGAAGGATACTAAGTGTTCAAAACATCTGGCAGGCAAAGTGAACCTATGGCTACGTCCTAGCCAAGCGGCGCCACATGTGGCTTTCAGGAGAGGCATGTAGCAGGGAAGGGGAGCAAATTCCTCCTAAATCTGGATCTGTGACTTATTTAGTTTTGTGGCCACTTCCCTGCTCTTTTGCCTTGTAGAGGGATGACTGCATGCAGATTTCCAACGCACAGGAGCAGAGCCACTTAGGAAGCAGGCAAGAGGTGTTTAAAAACTCCTGGGGGCATTGAAATCCAAGAAAACACAGCCATTATTATTTCATTGGCAGAAGTAAATTAAGCTGATTGACTCTGACCATCACCAAATCAAGTCAAAAAGTTCCTGGCACCTCAGAGATCTCTTCTTCATTTTGCATAGCTTGGCAAGGGCAGTTTTCCAGCCTCTTATGTCCCTGGTGAATGTCAGGCCTGCATTTCAATCAACTTTTATTTCCAAATATACGTTTCAGCAATTTTTCAGGAGCTGGGGTGGGGGGTTTGAGAATGGAAAGGGCCGGGGTATGTTACAGTTCAGGAAGGGTATAAAAGGACATTAATCATTCCTGTGGAAACCTTCCCGTCAGCAAGTCAAACTGCTGATATTAATGAGCATGTTTCATATTTCATTGAGTCTCTCCTGGTTTCAGCTGCTCCTTATGACTCAGCTGGCAAAACAGAAAGCAGTTGCCTAAGTATTGTATGAAAGTCCTACAGATAGGTAGTAAAGGGGCATTTGAGGGTTGAGGGCAGAGCCAAGTCCCCCCAGGCTCTGAGCACCACACCAGTGCTAACTCCAAGCCCATCTATTATCCACTTAACTACTGCTGAGGACAGAGGATGGGGTGCACAGGGGGACTCATAGCCTCTTGAAGCATGAGGAAGATGGCAGAGGCTTGGGTGTCATGCTGGGCCACACAAGGAACCCAAATGCTGAGCGTGAGGCTACTATCGGAAACAAAGATTTATTTCAACTTTAGTGAGATGCAAGCCTTTGTAGAAAAGAGGAAGATAAGATTTCCCCAACTAAACTGGAGTACTGATTAGCACGGGTGTTTAAGGTTAGACTTGGAGGGCGGGTGGAGCCCAGTAATCATTGTTTCCTCAGCCCTTCAATTGAAAAGACATTGCTTTCTCCAAACAACTCAGAGTCAGTTGATTACTGTATGATGGGTGGGGGAGTCTATGGCTTGCTAGGGCCTGGGATGCTCTTGCTCCCTGAACAGACCCTGTCAGGCACTTGGGAAACCTGGTTGACCATTAGCGGGGTGAGGAATAAACAGAGCTGAGAGAGGTGGTGTAGTCTGAGGATATTTTCAGCAGGGTGGAGAGGCCTGACAAGCCTGTGCCTAGAGGGAAGAACAGCTCCTTGGCTGGCATCTCTCCCTGCACAGTGCTACTCAAGGGCTCGCCATCGACCTTGATAAAAGTGAGGGCCCATCCTAGGGTGGGGAGGTCTGAGCCAGTGTCCGCCGCACTCACCGAGAAGGGCAGTCTCTCCGGTTGCACGCAATGGGCTGCACTGCAGGGCGAACCTTCCCTGCGCAGTGGGCAGGGTTGACCTCCGTGCTGTTCAGCAGGCACCTCAAGCGGGGCTGCTGAACCCCCCGGTTACCACAGGAGGCTGAGCAGGTTGCCAATCTGTCCACAGACCACCAGTAATCTGTCATGGGAGGAGGAGCAGAGTAGAAAAGAATATAGCTTAATTGCCCACACTCTGAATTCCTTCTGAGCAGGGCAGGGAGAGGGTGGAAGGGGTGGATTTGTGGCCTGAAGGAGAGGAGCTATTATAAATGAGGCCCCGCTCCTCGATGGGCACCATTCCCGAACTATTTGGGGAAGTCACGTGGTCTCTAGGGGCCTCAGCCATGAAATGAGTACAGTGACCCTCACCTTACCCAGTTACTGTGGGGACAGGAAATAAAGTAGCTCAGTGCCTGACATACGAAGGGTACTTAATTAATGCCATAGGTCATCTTATTTTTAAAGATATTTGCTACAGTCCTTTTCTTTCCTCATTGGTTCATCAGAAAGTGATTTTGTTTTCTACAAAGATATATAAATATAGTAAATACTTAACCATCACAGTACAGATTCGAGCTGGACTTTGCAAATGTTACCCAAAAAAGCCTATACAGAGAGTGCTTATTTACATGAGACAATGATGTCAGTAAGAAAGCCAGTTGCTTTGGGGGTCTGGGACTCACTGATAGGAAAGCTGTTAAAAATAAATATGAGGTGGCAGATTTTGAGTGCTTATTTGCAAAGTTGTGTATTACAAGTCTTGCAAATAGGCCCTGGCTTCTGGTTTTCAGCAGATACTGGCTGGCTGGCGAGAAAATGGAACATTTGTTTTCCTGTCTGAAAAGCCAAATGGTGAAGGAAGATATTTAGGAAGAAAACTTATCTGCTTAGAAAGATTTCCCTTTCTCCATCTTTTTGTGCCATTTTGGCACACAACTCTGTCCCTTCCCATTGCATCCTTCATTTTGGAATATATCACACACAGGCCACAGGTTGAACTAGCCTGCGGAAAACTCCAAAGCCTCACACAGTTTCTATAAAAAGGCCACTTTCCCCTCTTTCCCACTGATTTGGCCTCATTTACAACTCTTTCTTGGTGCAGTGAAGGCCAGGCCCCGCCCAAAGGCTTTCTGACATGCCTGTTTTCCTGGAAGGTTAATGCATGAGCCATGTGGGCTTCACAGTCTGTTCTTTGCCAGGGCCAAAGGAAAGGTGCCTGGAAAGCCCTCAGCTTATGACTAAAGCTGAAGACTCTTCAGGATGATCAGCAGGCACCAGGCCTGTCTCTCTAGGCAGGAGGCAGTAACCAAACAGGCTACTCTTCGTGTGTGTGAGATCTGTACTAGTTAAATCAGCATAAAGGAATCACATCTGACTTTGATATATAGTGTTGTTTCCATGGTCCTGAGCAACAGCAACATTATAAGCAGAAGGGCCTATTTCTGAAGGCAGCATTGGCTTTTCCAGGTTCTGCTGGGAGGGGCATGATGGCTGTTCTGAAGAGCCATGTTGACAGAAGTAGGGTCTCACTATATGGAAACATGGCGCAGCTTCGGTTTTCATGCCCTGGGTACCACTGAAGATCAGAAATCACTTTGTTTTACTAGATAGTTAGATTCCCAAACGGGCTTTCTTCTTCAAGAAATTAGTCCAGTTTGCAAAGCCTGCAGGGTTTCTTACCTTGGATCACTAAAGATGCCTTCTGCATGAGTACCCCTGCCTCATTCTGAGCAAGGCAGCTGAATTCCCCTTGAGACCCACCGCTAAGGTTTGCAACTTGAAGGATCTGTCCAGCTGCCAAGATGTGATGTGTCAGTCCTGTGGCAGTGACAATTGGCTGACCACCATGAAACCAGGTGATATTAGGGACAGGGTGACCTGTGATGGGGCAGCCTAGGAGGAGAGGAAAAGAAGAAAGCCTTAGTAAAGCCATAAGGAACACATTCCTGGTGCACTGGTTTACTGTCTTTGTGGCTTTAGAAACTGTACACACAATGTGGCCTTGTCCATGGCATTTTTATTATATTTGCCATTCCTGAGTGAACAGGAGATGTTTTTATTCTCTGAATTTCTAGGAGGGTGACTATAATTCATTCAATTAAGTAAAATTATTGGATAACAAAAGTACCTATTTCTGTTTATGTCCCTATACTAACTTTAAAATAATGATACAGTTAATCTTCATTCCTTGAACAGTGTTTTCAAGATAAGTAGTTCTTAGAGTGATTTTTTTTTTCTGACAGATTCCTTCTTCAAATACAATATGTTGGGAAAAAAATACTGTACTATATAGTAATAGTTAAGAAACAAACTTGAATTGGTAAAAGTATCATATTCCCTCATTTTACTTGTTATGTGATTTTTCCAGTCAAAATTGTTTTCATCAGAGGCTAGGAACACAATTTTAAACCTGGATCTTTTTTTCTGCATAAGGCTTTGTCTTCTGAAGGCTTTTGCAAAGCCTGCGCTGGACATGTACAATATTATACGTCTCTACAGAGCCATCAAACATATTTTGATATAATAAACTCAGATATCATCATGTTTACCTAGGACTTTGTAGTGTAGAATCAGTAAGATAAACAGGTTGCAGTTGTGAGAGAAATTCCTGGAAGGACAGGGTATTTGCTGTGTTCGCTCTTGTGCCCCAGCAACTTACAGAGAATTTATTTGGATATGTAAAACTCATTAAAGCCATCGAAAATTAAAGAATCTGAAGTTTTTTTCCCCTCAGTTCACTTAGAAAAAATATCTGTTTGGTACCTACTGCTCTGGGGAGAGTTAAGATAAGATAATTAAGACTATCTTCCCTCTTCCAGGGAGATCCCAAGCTGGTATAAGATAAGATTTTTAGAAAACACACTCAAAACTGTAGATGCAAGGCAGGAAATGATGAGATATGAGGCACAAAGATGGTGCTATGGTCTGAGGGTTTGTGTACCCCCTAGATTCATATTGAATTCTAATCACCAAGGTGATGGTTTCAGAGGGTGGGGACTTTGGGATGTGATTCCATCACATGGGCTCTTTCCTCATGAATGAGATTAGTGTCCTCATAAAAGAGGCCCTGGAGAGCTGCCTTGGCCCTTCCACCATGTGGGACACATTGAGAAGCTGCCATCTATGAAGCAGACAGCAAGCCCTCAATTAATCTGCTGCTGCACTTATCTGGGACTTGCCAGACTCTAGAACTGTAAAAAACAATTTTCTTTTGTTTATAAGCCACTAGTTTTTATGATATGTCTGTTACATCAGCCTGACTGGACTAAGACAGGTGGCTACCCTCTGTGGATGTGTGGGTGGATGCCTATGCATCTACAGAGAGAAGGGATTTTCTAATGTTTCATTTCTTTTTTGACAGCGTCTTGCTCTGTCACCCAAGCTGGAGTGTGGTGGTGCAATCTCAGCTCACAGCAACCTCCGCCTCCCAAGTAGCTAGGATTACAGGTGTGCACCACCATGCCCAGATAATTTCTCTCTCTCTCACACACACACATATTTTTAAGTAGAGACGAGGTTTCACCATGTTGGCCAGGCTGATCTTGAACTCCTGGCCTCAAGTGACCTGCTCGCCTCAGCCTCCCAAAGTGCAAGGATTACAGATGTGAGCCACCACACCTGGTCTAATATTTCTTGTTTGTGAATCCAGGGATAGAACTGTTAAAATTTACACAAGATGGGGAATCCCTAGAAATCATCTAGTTCACCACCAGAGGAAGAAACTGAGGCCTAGAGAGGTTAGGAGACCTTCCTGAGACTGTGCAGCAGGCCTTCTACCTGACTCCTGGACTGCGTTCTTTCCCCCATACTTGCTACTTGTTCAGCTGGGCACCTTGCCACCTCCTTTGTTTCTTTGCTCACTTACTTTTTTCCCCTTCATTTTTGTTTTTCCTGAGGTAGTGAGGTAGTAGTGAGAGGGTAGGAGCAGACTATTTGGAAGGGAGGGTTCTAAAAAGATAAACCTAAAAATGGACCCCTGGAAGCTCAGTATGGGATGTAGTATTATATGATCCAATTCTTCACTCCTTCATGTATCCGCTGACTCTACCATGCAACTTGACAGTGCCCTCCCATGAGAGAGCGGTTATACTTCCCCCTTCTGGCTTTGGCCATGTGAGTTAGACAGATGTTTTTCTTTTCTGATTGTTCATTGTTATTGTAACAAGTCCACTCACAACAGCATCAAAAAGAAGAAAATACTTAGGAATAAACTTAAGCAAGGAGGCTACTATGGTTCGGATGCTGGTCTCCTCCAAAACTCACGTTGAAATTTAATTTCCATTGTAACAGTATTAAGAGGTGATCAGGCCATGAGGGCTCTCTCCTCATGGGTTGGATTAATGCCATTATAAAAGGGTGAGTTCAGCCCTTATTTGTTTCTTTGCTCTTCCACCTTTTGCCATGTGAAAACAAAGCTTTCCTCCCTTTTGGAGGATGCAAAGGAAGACTGTGAGCCAATACATTTCTGTTCATTATAAATTACCTAGTCTCAGGCATTCTGTTGTAGCAGCACAAAATGGACTGAGAGACAAAAATCTTGAACACTGAAAGCTACAAAATACGGCTGAAAGAAATTAAAGAAGATATAAATTCATGGAAGGACATCTCATGTTTATGGATTAGGAGACTTAATACTGTTAGGATGTCAATACTACCCATAGTAATCTACCAATTCAATGCAATCCCTACCAAAATCCCAATGATATATTTTGCAAATAGAGAATCTCATGCTAAAGTTTATATGGAATATCAAAACACCCAGAATCACCAAAGAAGAACAAAGAGGATTCATAGTTCCTGATTTCAAAACTTAATACAAAGTGATAGTAATCAAAACAGTACTGTACTGGCATAAAGACAGACATAGAGACCAAAAGAACAGAATAGAGACTGGAAACAGACTTTTAAATATATGGTCAAAGACCATTCAATGGGGAAAGGATAGTCTTGCCAACAAATGGTTCTGGGAAACTGGATATCCATATGTTAACAAATGACTTACACTAAATATAAAAATTAACTCAAAGTGGATGAAAGACCTAAACCTCAGAGTGGAAAGTACAAAACTTTTACAAAAAATCACAGGGAAAACTTTAATGACACTGGGTTTGGCAATGGTTTCTTAGATATGACACTAAAATATAGGCAACAAACAAAAAAATAAAGTAGATTTCATCAAAATTTAAATCTCTTACACATCATAAGACACTATCAAGTGAGTGAAAAAGCAACTCACAGAATGAGAGAAAATATTTGCAAAGCACAGATCTGATAAGAAATTAATATGCAGACTATATAAAAAACTCTTAAAATTTGATAACTAACAAACCACCCAGTTTGGGCAAATGCCCAGATAAGCAAAGGACTTGAGCAGACATTTCTCCAAAAGAGATACACAAATGGCCAATAAACACATGAAAAGATGCTCAATTAATCATTAGGAAAATGCAAATTAAACCCACCATGAGTTACCACTGCATACCCACCAGGATGGCTATTATTAAAAGAAACCCAAAATATAAATGTTTACAAATATGTGAAAAAATTGGAAACCTTGTGCATTGCTAGTGGGAATATAACATGGAGCAGCTGTTGTGGGAAACAGTATGGTGGTCCCTAAAAAATTAAATATAGCATTATCGTATGCTCCAGCAATTCCACTTTAGGGTATATATTCAAAAGAATTGAAAACAGGAACTTTAAAAGATATTTGTACACCTATGTTCATAGCAGCATTATTCATAATACCCAAAAGATTTAAACAACCCAAATATCCAACAATAGATGGGTAGATAAACAAAATGTGGTATATATATATGATGGAATATTATACAGCCTTAAGGAATGACATTCTGACATACACTACAACATGGATGAGCCTTGAAAACATTATACTAAGTGAAGGAAGTCAGATATAAAAGGACAGATACTGTATGATTCCATTTATATGAGGTACCTAGAACAGCCAAATTCATAGAAACAGAAAGTGGAACAGTGGCTACCAGAGGCTGGAAGAAGGGAGGGAGGGGGAGTGCAGAGTTTTAGTTGATGAAAAAATTCTGGAGGCAGTGGTGATAGCTGTACAACAAGGTAGATGTATGCAATGGCATCAGGCTGTGCACTTAAAGAGTTGAAATGGTAAATTTTATGTATCTCTTACCACAATAAAAAACTGAGGCAGAGATGCTAATGTAACAGTTCCAAACCTAGACCTCAAGAGATCTTGGGAGCTTTTGCTTGTGCTGTTGTGCCTTTGCCATTATATTAGAAAGTCATGCCAGGACTGGCCTGATGATCCCAAGAGGAAGACAAGAGAAATGCGGAGAACAGTCAAGTCACTCCAGCCAAACCCAGCTTAGATCAGCTGAACTAAGTAAGATCAGTAAGAATAATTGATTGTTGTTTTAAGTCACCAAGTTTGGGCTTTTTAAAATGCAGCATGTGTATGTGTGAGGTGATAGCTAACTGATACATTTAGGGAGAGGTATCTTCCAGCTTTTCAACTTGGCCAGTGGATTGAAGGCCTGGAATAGGACAGAGCTGCTACTTGTGTACTGACCCAGCTCTTGCCTGACCTGTATCCTCTTTTTTTTTTTTTTTTTTTTTTGAGGCAGGATCTCATTTTGTTGCTCAGGTTGGAGTGCAATGGTGCAATCATAGCTCACTGCAATCTTGAACTCCTGGGCTCAAGTGATCCTCCCACCTCAGCCTCCCAAATAGCTAGGACTACAGGCATATGCCACCATGCACAGCTAATTAATAATTTTTTTTTTAGTAGAGATGGAGTCTTGCTATGTTGCCCATACTGGTTTTGAACTCCTGGCCTCAAGTGATCCTCCCTCCTCAGCTTCCCAAAGTGCTGGAATTACAGGTGTGAGTCACCTTGCCTGGCC